CCCTTGTATGTATCTTTCCGTCTCTCTCTCTGTAGCCTGTAAGATTCTCTCTTTGTCCTGAACATTTGCCATGGTAATTATGATGTGTCTTGGTGTGGGTCTTTTCGGGTTCACCTTGTTTGGGACTCTCTGTGCTTGTGTGACTTTTTTCTTCCCCACCTCAGGGACGTTTTCTGATATTATTTCTTCGAATAGGTTTTCTAATCCTTGTTCCTCTTTCTGTTGTTCTGGCACCCCTATTATTCATATGTTGTTTCGTTTCATGTTGTCCCAAAGCTCCCTTAGGTTCTCCTCCTTTCTTTTAATTTTTTTCTCCAATTGCAGTACAGTTTGGGTGTGTTTTGCCTCCTTGTCTTCTAATTCACTAATTCGGTCCTCCGCTTCTCCTAGTCTACTGTTGATACTTTCAATGGTATTTTTTATTGCAGCTATATCGCTCTTCATTTCTTCTTGGGTCTTACATAAGTTATTCATTTTTTCATCTGTTTCTTCTTGCTTCTTCCATAAGTTGTTGATTTTTTCCTCCATCCGGTTTATGTACTCTAGGACCCTTATTCTGGATTCTTTTTCTGTCATGTTGAATGCCTCTGTATCACTCAGCTGCTTTTCTGGTGAGTCCTCCTTTTCTTTCCTTTGGGGGTTTGTCTACCCATGTTTGATCTCACTGACATATCTAGATGTTGAGTCATTCAGTGGCTGCTCCCTGGGTAGCAGTGGCTCCTCGGGCGGTTGCGGTAGCAGCTGCTCCTCAGTTGGTAGCAGCTCCTCTGGCGGGTGCTGTTCACAGCTGTGGTGGCTCTTCTGGCTGGTTGGGGGAGGCTTCACGTACAGCTGCTGTTCCTCAGACAAAGGGTGTGGTGATCAGGAGGCTGCTGTTGCTTGGATCTTTCCGTGAGAAGCAGGACTCCACGTAGTCGCGCTGTCCCAGATCCAGTGTCTCCGGGTTAGCAGCCAATCTCTGGATGCCGGGTTTTGGGTGTACAGTATACATTTCCAAAAAACAGCCACTCAAGATGGCGTGGTCTCCGCGGCTGATCCGGCGATCCGGGAGAGATTTCAGCCGCAGTCTCCAACTTTCAATCCGCTTTCTCAAGGATTCCTCCACCGTTCCCGGCTGCAAACTGTCTCTCAGCTGAATATCCTCTGCTTATTCGGGCTTTATGTTACCCGCTTCAGCTGCTCACCCTAACAGCTCCGGGACAAGGCACGGACACGTCCGTCTATACCTCCGCCATTTTTTCTCTCCCGAGAAATAAATTTTTTGTTTAAAGGGGAGCAGCTGCATCTTTGATATCACTAGATTTGTTTTTCAATATTTTTATGTGAAATCATTCAACATTTATATATTAGCATATGTATTAGTTTTCTATTGCTGCAATAACTAATTTCCACAAAATCTGTGGCTTAAAACACAGATTTGTTATTGTTGAAGGAACTCAAAAAGAGCCTGGAGGCTTTGGCTAGAAATAAATGATAAGGACTTATTCAAGGGTCTTGGAGTTTGCAAGCTAGGAACACAGCAAGGAAAAAAAGTGTTCCAAAGCAGAAAGAAAAGTTAAGTTCTTATAATAAAAAGTACATTCTTGAAAATTATCAGTCCTGCATTCTTAGCCTTACAACTGATCCAGGATGATTATCAGTCATATGTCAGGGCAGTCAGGGTGATGGATGCCAGGAGGTTTGGTCACATCCTCTGGTCTGGATAATGGATGTCAGGTGAATGTATATGAGTCCTTCAGAGGGTAATCAGGTAGTCTGGGTACCTGCGTCCTTCAGGGTTAAACAGGGTTATCTAGAAGTCCATTTGTAAATCCAAGCATCGACACAGGACTGAAAAGTTAAAAAAAAGTTTATGTTACCAGGTTAGAACAAGAATGGAATCTTTTATGCCTCAAACTTCATGTTAATTTTAGCAGCTTAGTTAAAATGACTCCATCTTATATATTCCCCATCTTCACTCTTTCTTCATTATCTGACAGTTCTAGAGATTAGAAGTCTAGAATGATCCTAGCTACCAGACCAGGATCAAGGAGTTGGCAGGGCTGCATTTCTTCTGGAGGCTCCGTGGAAGTAGCTTGCCTCTTCCAGCTTCTCAAAGTCAGTAATGGTGAGCTGAGTCGTTATATCACTCTGATTTCTTCAGTAGTCATATCTCCTTTTGCTTTCTTCTCTTCCATTTTTGAGTACCCTAGTAATTACATTGGGTGCATTCAGGAACTCTCCTCATTTGCAAAATCCCTTTGCTTTTAAGGTAACATACAGATTCCAGGGATTAGGGTGTGGGCATCTTTGAACAGGGGGTATTATTCTGCCCACCAAAGGAATTATGATTTAATAAGTACCATGGGCCAAAAAAAATCGTATCTATGTGTGGGACAGGATCCATGGGCTATTGTTCTTTTCAGCATGGAGTCTAGAGTGCAGGCTCTGAGGTCTGACTGCCTGTAGTTAATGTGGGATCAGCCACTTACTAGCTAGGCTAAGCTTTGTTATTCACTTAAGTAGAATAAGACTAGTAATGCTGCCTGCCTTGAAGGATTGTTATGAAAATAAAAAATAGATATAAAATACTTAGCAGTGTCTGCCATATATTTAAGGGCTTAATTAGTGTTAGCTAGTATTCATTTTTAGAGATTCTACCTAATGTAAAATTAAATAAATTCCTAATTAGAAAAAATACAAAAATCCCACTGCATTATTCTGAATCAATTTCTTTTCCCTAATTTTACATTAGGCAGTAAATACCTTGGCTATAGAGGTCCTTGAATGTATATTTACTGCTCCATCTGTTCTCAAGACTACATTTGAATACAGTATGTGTGTCTGGGCCATCAAGACATAATAGGTAAGAGTTCCTTGTATTCTCATTTCCTTAAGCAGTTACATCTGTCTGGGAGGCCTCAGTGTGCAGCCTCAAGTGATTCCACTATAGACTGGATAATATGATTAGCATCTTCTTTCAGGTTCCAGTTGCACACCCTTGCCAAGCACCAAGGAGAGCTGTGAGAAGCCAACCCAGGAACATGCAGCACCTCTATGCAGACCTAACACAGCCATTCAGGCACTGAGCAGAAGTGCCTGCCCTGTGTGTACAGATGCTTTGAATCACAACGGTGATCCATAAGAAAATTAGCATTAAGCCCTTGCAGACTCAGTGCCTCACTCTAAGATAACCAAAGTGTCTTTGCTATTGCTAATTAAATCTAAAAACATATTTTTCACATAAAATCCCTACAGTCTGTAGAAAATACCATTGTATTATAAAGCATACTTTAACTCCTTTTTCTGATTGTATTTATGTATCTGTACAATAAGCCTCTTTTTGATTTCCATCAAAAGTAACTTATATATCAGTTTTTAAATATCTTTATTCACAAATCAGTATAAAATTGGTCAGTTTGAATGTCATATGTATGATAAAATAGATTATGAAAAGTATATTTACAATGAAACCATTATTTTATATAACTAAATCATCTGATACACTACCTCCTGCAATAACAACTTAATGGACCCAAGTCTACCCTCTGAATGTACGAAGTTTATGATTCTCCTAGAAAGTTTTGAATTGGGTATAGTTTCTTGGTATTTCTTTATGTGATCCAAAGCTCAAGAGAAAATTCCTAAAAACTAGCAATTGGAACCAGACCTCTCTAGGAAAGAGGAGAGACAGGTGTGAGAAAAAGGACATCCTGTCACTTAAAGACCCACAACTGCTATGCTTTGCAGGATATGAGGAAGAGGGAGCACACAGTGGAAGAGGAAATAATCATTCCCAACAATTATATTGAACATTTTAAAATTGTCAATATTAAGGGTTCATGTTTAAAATAGCTAGCCATGAAGTGAAATATGTATGCAATATAGTCAGGGAGATGTGATGCTTACAAACCATATATGTCTTATTTATCTTTAATTTTAAAATAATTCATTCTTTTTTGGGGTATGCAAGTGAGCAATGGAGAAAGTGGTGCATCTGCAATACCTGAAATTAAAAAAAGAAAAATAGACAATTAAAATAATCACAGGACAAAGATTTGAGTCAGTTTAAAAATGGGCAAGATCATGGACCCTCATTATGTGCAGAAGCAGAATATGCAATACGGGGTAAGATGGGATACCAGACTGGTCATGAGAAAGCTCAGAGGTAATTAGTCAGCAAAGGGAGGTTTGAATGTAGGTATGCTGTTAATTGTTCTAGCTTGCAAAATAAACTGACTACTTACCTGCTGGTGCTAAGGATTTCAATGCTTCCAGAAGATTCGGGCTAGAGAACTTTACTAGGCATCGGAGAGGTTCTTTTCTTTCAGCCAAGATGCCCCTATTTAAGTCACTTTTGAATTTTGTTTCAAGCTGTCAACAAATATATTTATAAATGACTATTAAATATATCAGTTGGAATGGCAACATGTAACAAAATTGAATTACTCATTTCACTAATTATTATCACCAAGTAATACAGGGCTTAATGGATGAGAGAAGCTAACTGAAAATGTAGAGGGCAACCAGCATATCAAACGATAGAACACACAAAATGCAAAGTGTGCACAGTGCCTGACACACAGGAGACCTTGGATGGCAGTTTCGCCCGCAGGTGTCCTATTTCGCATTTTTTAAAAAAAATATTTTTATTGATGTCAGAGAGGAAGAGAAAGGGAGAGAGAGATAGAAACATCAATGATGAGAGAGAATCATTGATTGGCTGCCTCTTGCACACCCCCTACTGGAGATCGAGTCCGCAACCTGGGCATGTGCCCTTGGCCAGAATTGTATCTGTACAACCTGGGACCTTCAGTCTGTAGGCCGATGCTCTATCCAGTGAGCCAAACCAGGTAGGGCCTATTTTGCATTCTTTTTTTTTTTAAAATATATTTTATTGATTTTTTACAGAGAGGAAGGGAGAGAGAGAGATAGTTAGAAACATCGATGAGAGAGAAACATCGATCAGCTGCCTCCTGCACATCCCCCACTGGGGATGTGCCGGCAACCCAGGTACATGCCCCTGACCGGAATCGAACCTGGGACCTTTCAGTCCACAGGCCAACGCTCTATCCACTGAGCCAAACCGGCTTCAGCCTATTTTGCATTCTTAATGGAAAATTAGCACTATCTTTTGTAACCTGTTATTTCAATATAAAAATGTCATGTCTTTTGAATCACTACCATGATTTCTTTTTTACTTCTCATTATGGAAGATTAAAAAAAAAAACATACACAAGTAAGGTGCACAGTATAATGAGTCCCATGTGCATATCACCGAGCTGAAACAATGATCAACTAATGGTCAGTATTTTTTCATTTATTACCTTTCTTCCCATTCCCTACAGCCCACCCACACTGGATTATTCTGAAGCAAATCCAGGACATCATAGTATCCCATCTGTAAATATTTCAGTATGTATCTAAAAACACCTAAAAAGGACTCTTTTCATCCTCTTACATTACCACACATAAAAAAATTAATATTATCAAATATCCAAGTATTGCTAATTTAATAGGTACTTGGCTCTTAGATTCTAATTTCAATTTCTTTTAAAACTTAAAGTGATCCTTCGCATTTAGAGGCAGTATGCTGAAATAGTTGAAGACTGAGTAATGCCTACAACTAACTCAAATGGTTCAGCATCAAGAAAGAAAAAGAAAGCAACTGTGGCAAAATGTTAACAACTGGTGAATTGAAGCAAAGAGGACAAGAATATTCACTGTAATATTCTTGCAAGTTTTCTGAAGGTTTGACATTTTTCAAAATAGGAAGTGGGGGAAAATTAGTAGCAGGTATGCATCAACGTGCACCTTGACGTATAGAATAGAGCCATTCTAAGATATATGTAAAGGGAAATTTTGTAGATTAAATCTTCTGTATACTCCTTCAGTGGATCTCTAACTTTAGTGTGCAAAATTAGCTAGAGAGGGCTTGTAAAACCAGATGGCTGGGTCCCACCTGCAGAATTCTGATCCATTAGGACTAAAGTGGGGCCGAGAATCCACATTTCTTATCTATTCCCAAGTGATGCTGGTACCGCTGGTCCAGGGACCACACTTTGAGAACCAGTGTCCCACAATATGAGCTTTCTAAAGGAACTGGATTAAAACCTGCCATTCAGGGAACCAAACTTGAAAGGTGTTAATGAGCTATTCGTACTGAAAACACATCAAACCAAATAAGCATTAGGCCTAAATGAGCAGATCTATGGCAGATTTGAAGTGTGGCCTGTAGGGGCACTAAGCAGAAAGAATTTTAATGAGGTGTTTAAGGGGAGGAGAGTGTTGTATAAGCATGAGTATGAGATTAATGATCATGACAAAATCTTGAATTCTTGTAATGGTGGCAATGGGTTTGTCCCTGACACTGGTCTTCTTGGTGGGCAGTGGTACACTTCTGGGATGAGCTAGGTTTACAAAACTAACTAGGCTACTGGTTTTTTCTCCATGTGATACCAACTGGACTATATAATGACTTATTTATTCACTCTTTTATTCAACAAGTCTTTATGAGCACCCACTGCATTGTAAGTATTGTTCTAGGTATGGATGGATTAGAAAGGTATAGCCTACAATTTTTTCCCCTCAAAAATAATAGATCACAGCCAGTTATAATTAATTGAATTAATATGAAAGATGAAATGAAAAGGCAAACTTAAAATTTCCAAAGGTCTTCTTTATTAATAGAGAAACTTACTAAATATTATATAAACTGATTATATAAAATTAAAGTGACAAATGAATAAGGACGTTTCTTAGAACCAGTTCACTTAGATGTTTTATTCTCTTAAAAAATATTGATAACTGTAGATAGTTTATAGCGATGTCCTACCTTATACTGTGCAAATTCTAGTCTTGGTTGAGGATAGTCTCCGAAAATTTCTTGAGTCACTCTTTGTACTCTGTCTTTTTCTATTATGTTTTCATGAATGATCCTTGAATCCACTATAGATGGAAGATTTCAAATAAAAGAGCTGTTAGGAGTATATTTCATCCTTAAATTATCCCCCTTTAATTCCTAACCTTTCAACTTGCTTGTATAATTTAAAGATAATGTTTACAGGTTCTTCTCTTGATTGTAATATTTTCTTATTGTAGAAAAATTGGAAAGCACTGATAAAAAAGTAAATAAAAGCCACTCATTAATTCTACCACACAGAAATAAGTACTGTTAACATTTTATATATTCCTGTATAGCCCTTTTTCAGAGAATAAAAAGTGTATTTTTTAAACTGGGATTATAAAATATACAAATTTTCTTTCCTGCTTTCTTTACTTAACATGAAATCAATAGCCGTTCCTATGCCATTGGAAAGCCATAAAAATGTTTCAGAATGGCTGTACCATTTCATTTTATTGCCAACAAATTGCTAAGAGATAGAAAAATTTTCATTTTTAAAAGTGTACTTTCAAATTTCAGTTTTTGTTTTAAAACACACATACTGTTTATATCTAGCCCAAGGTTTCTTTCTTGTAGAGGTGTAGTGGCGTTGTGAGTTTCAAAAGTCTAGAGAGAAAAAAGAAAAAGTGAATGTTTTCCTGATTTTAACACCTTGAAGTACAGCTATTATTTGTTTTAGTACATAAAAGTATGTCAAGTTTTACCTATTTGTTTTTTTTTTGTTAATCCTCACCCAAGGATTTTCCCCCCCAGTGATTTTTAAAGAGAGTAGAAGGAACGGAAAGGGAGAGAGAAACACTAACGCGAGAGAGACACATCGATTGGTTGCCTCCCGTACACGCCCTGACGGGGGCCAGGAATGAACCTGCAACCCAGGTATGTGCCCCTGATTGGGAATTGAAACTAAGACCCTTCGTTGCTCGGGCCAAGGAAAAAGCATTGGTTTATTAAGTCCAACAATTTATTTGTTAAAATTATTTAAATGCATTAAATGTATCATTTACTTTTAATTATAAGAATGGATCTGGCCTTACAGGTTCAGGGTTATTTGCTCCTGTGCATGGTATCTGTGTGCTCATACGTTGCTCAGGCTAATGCTCTACCACTGAGCCACACCAGCCAGGGCTCAAATTTTATATTTATTTTTTCAAACAAGAAGAGATTTGAGCCCATATCCAGGCTGAGTGGAGCATTTCTCCTAGAGCAGGATATTGGCAGAGACATCTAGGGTGAGCAACGTGGCTGTTTTGCCTGAGGAGCTCTGTCTATACTTTGTTATAAAAAAAATGGACGTGGAAGAAATAGGTGGTGAGTACAAAAGCTAGAGAAATCACGGCAGAATTTGCAATGTGAAGTTTTAGCTTTATGCTATGTCTTTATAACTCCAAAAAAACTCACTGTGATTCCTTTTGTAAAAATAATTTTCCTACTTCAAGTCTGAATTTCTCAAATCCCTTCTCTGACCTTCCCCCACTAAAGCCACTGTTTTTTATAATTAAGTATTTGACAATATGTATTTTCCTAGGAGCAAAACAGTTGATAGCAATTTGATGGGAATGTGGGTGGTAAGAGGGGAGCGGGCTGCTATGGGAGAAAAATCATTATCTAACTTCTTAATGTTAGATATGTTTTCCTTAGAGGGCTTACAGAGAGCCATTACTATTTTCTATGTAGAACAGATGAAGTATATAAATATAGGGTAGGGCAAAAGTAGGTTTATAATCGTATTAAAACACAAGAGTTTAGTCTTGTATTATTTATTAATCATTGTATTATTTTCCATGTTAACAACTGTTAACCTACTTTTGTCCCACCCTGTATAATATATCTAAGAACTCAAAGATATACATAGGGTATTAATGACCCATCTACAGGAGTCTGAACATATGAGCACACAGATACCATGCACAGGAGCAAATAACCCTGAACCTGTAAGGCCAGATCCATTCTTATAATTAAAAGTAAATGATACATTTAATGCATTTAAATAATTTTAACAAATAAATTGTTGGACTTAATAAACCAATGCTTTTTCCTTTACTTCTAACCCCTGTATCACCTACTGGACTGATGGGACAAAAAATTAATTCTACTTTTCTCTTGCAATAGAAGAGAGTAGTAGAATTAATTTTTTTGTAATTAGCTTTAAAAGGCAGTAAGTTATTCTAAAGAAAAAATAAACTCTAATTAGAATAGCTGATCTGGAAATTGGGATTTAACAGACTCCAATAACTAATGAGCAGTATAAAACACAAAATATGATCATAAAAAGATGATAGTGAGGCATTTCATTATTTTGTTTCCTGTAATGTTAACTAACAAAGTTTTCTCTGCTTCAGTAGTACCTGAAGGGATCTCCTTTTGTTGTAGGTGAACTTCCCACCTGCTCAGTGGCTTGTAAAGAGAAAATGGAGACTTTAAACAGTCACTGATGGGCTCACCTGATTATACTGTTTAAAAACAATAGCCTTAAGAGAGTCCAGATATCGGCTTCTGAAGTCCATTTTCACAATCCGATGGTGTTTGCTAGCAACTGTCAGTGCCTTAAAGTGAAAGTTAGAAAGAATATTAGGATTACTGTGTCTATTCCTGTATTTACAGTATTTGTCAAAGTAAAATTAAGAGTGGCAGTAAGTGAATACTTTCTACTTGAGAGTGAAAAGAGAAACCCAGAAAAATGTAATCTCATGTCCTATTACTCAGCTTTTTTAAAAGACAAAAAAAGGCTAATGGCATTAAAATTATCATAAATGCAAAATCTTTTATACCATTTTTAGAACTGTGTTCCTATTTAAAGTTAGGATTTATAATACATTAAGTTCAGACTTAGGGATAAACAATGAATACTTAAATGTTACCATTTTGGAATACCAGTCATCTAATATTACAATGATATTGCCACACTAAAATGCAAATATGGATACTTTAGGACAAATACTGAAGAAAAAAGTACATATTAAATGCAATTTATAAAAGCTTCCCATTATCTGGAGAAGCAAGTTAGAAGGCAGAAACAGAATTAATAAAATACTTACCTGGAACTAGAGGATAGAGATAAGTTTGCCTTAAGATTCACAGTGGAAATAAACATTAGCTTGTGGGGCAACGTTTAAACTAGCTGTGGCAGGGGCGACTCATCTGGCTGTAAGTGGATGAACCACCACTACTAGTATATATTAAGGAGGAAAAGATCCCAAACATAAAGAAGCAGAGTTAAAGGGAAGTAGAAGCATGTAGCAGAAATCCTTCTGCCATTTCAGTAAACAGCCAAGGAATTTAAATGACAAGCAAGTGTGCCTGTCAGGATCCTAAGGCTCGTAGATCCATACTGTGGAGTGCTTGCTCTACTAGAGATGATGGAGCCTGGATGGTGGAGCTGCTCACCTACAACCAGCTTAAGTGGTAGCTCTGGCACCAACTGAGGTGCCACTAGAGCAGCGGTTCTCAACCTGTGGGTTATGACCCCTTTGGCGGTCGAACGGCCCTTTCACAGGGGTCGCCTAAGACCTTCCTGCATATCAGATATTTACATTACGATTCATAACAGTAGCAACATTACAGTTATGAAGTAGCAACGAAAATAATTTTATGGTTGGGTCACAACATGAGGAACTGTATTTAAAGGGCCAGAAGGTTGAGAACCACTGCACTAGAGACTGGAAGCAGCAGCAGTTGGCAGGCCTACGTAAGGATGGCTTATTTGGGGGAAAGATGCTAGGAAGCCAGAGCTATAACAAGAAGCAGGCTGTGAGTAGAGGCTCCTTCTTGTGCACAGAATGTAAGGAAAATGATTACAAATGAAAATAATGTTATTAATAGGCAAATTATGCAGTCACAAAAAAGTTGTGAGGTGTATCAGATGGAAACACACGGAAATGTTAAAAAAGCAAATGACAGATGATATGCTATTCTGGTTTTTGTAATAAAACATCTGAAAGGAAATAACAAAACTGTTAACAGTAATTATTTTGGGTAAATAGGATTGGGAAAAAGGATATGAATTTTAAAAGACTAAGGGTTGATCTTTAAAGACCTCTGTGTTGGTTGAAGTTGTACATTAAATACGCATTACTTCTAGATTAAAAGACAATAATGAAGAGCTCCGAACCAATGCTTATACCACTTTCCCACATGCAGAAGAACCACTCTTCCTTATTTTAGGAAATCAAGAATTACATGTGGCATTTTACATAGTGCTTAAACCTACATAGACCTTTGAGATAAGATAATACAACTTTATAGCTGTAGTAACTGGTTCCATACCTGACCCAGAAGGGGAATGCTGCTCCTCAGCCTGGAAGAAGAAATGAAGGCATACGGAGTCTGGGAATAGTACACCACGTAAGTAGGTTTGTACTGGTTTGGCTTTTTACACTGTGTTCCCCAGGCAATTCGAATCCATACTGCATTCTCTTCAGCGTCCCTGAAGGTGACTGATACCTTATTAAAAAAGAAAATTTAAGTTTCCTAATTAAAATCTTGTAGCACCAACATGTGCTTTCTAGGGGTGAAGGATGTCACTGTAATCTTCCACACAGTCTTTTCTCCTACTTTTCATTACAGTGTTTTGGGAATCTTTGAGAAAATATTTTGTGGTTGTTTTGCAGACATATATATTGCTTTGCAAAGTCTTTTGGAAGAAAAAAAAATTAAAAAGCTACAATCATGGTGTGATATCAGAACTTTTCAATAATTTCTTGGGCTTGTCCTGAAAAACTGTTCCTCTACCTGTAAGAGTTTATGAAGGCAGCCTTACAAATGATATTTGTTATAAAATGGAGCCTTTTTTGCATGAAACATAGAACTATGGTGCACTACTAAATTTAATAGCAACACTAAAATATATACGAATATATATAGACTTAAAAATATATTAATCCTAATGCTTTTATGCATTTAGCTGAGATGCTACAAATTAAAGGAAAGTTATGTGATGAGAATAGGAAATTCTATTTGGTTTCCATTTCATGGATAAAATGTAGACCTTCCTAAACTTTTAAATATGACTATCAGTTCGTCGGGAATTCAGTAGCCTACTCTTAGTTATTAGCTCCCCCTTGACTCAGCTTTCCCTCGGAGCTCAGACCCTGCAAAGGCAGTACTTGAGACAGGTGTACTTGGCTGGCCCATGTCTCTTCATTCCCACCCTCTTATACCTTACTCCAGTAATTTGGTTGTAATGTGACTGCTGGCATTAAGAAGGCAGTTGCTTTGACTTTGCCCACTCTTTATTTGGCTGCTTTTCTAAATCCCCTTGGTGCATGAGACAAGGAGCCCTCCCCAGTGCTGGGCGTAGAGGGTGCACAGCTGTCTGACCCTCCCTGAGTAAGCAGCACAGCGATTGGTCCCACTACTGCCTTGAGTGGAAGATAGGGTCTTATTCTCAATAGCCTCTTTGTGTCACGTTACCAAAATAAAAACACCTGTAAAATCAAGACTAAATAAAATATATGGAGGGAACACTTTAACTAGAGAGAGAAAACTGGTAGCACTCAACATATTTAAGTAGTCTCTCTAGCACAGAATGAGAATCTTTTAAATGAGGGCTCCAAGAAGCCCGTGACCTCCCTGAATTGGATGCACAGTCAGGTATATAAATCTAAGTGTATGTTTTCTGGAGAGACATGCTGTATCACATATCAAAATTTTCATAAGGGTCTATATCCGATCCAAAAAAGGTTAAAAAAATCAATGGGCTAAAAAAAAAAAAAGACGTCCACAGAATCAGTATAATTCTGAACAGCTGGCCTCCAGGTGTTCCATCTCATATTCTTATAGCAAGATCCTCAGATACCAGGTGTTCCATCTTATATTCTTATAGCAAGATCTTCAGAAAAATGAAGGGGTGGTGATGAAGGGACTCCTACATGAGGGACAAGAAATATTTCCTTCTAAGAGTTTTATGCTTAAAGATGAGCATGGAGAATGGATGTACTTTTACTAGGATTTAGGCATGTTTATAAGCATTAGAGTAGGCATCAGTAGATGAAGGGGTTGAGAATGTGAAAGAAGAGAGAAAAACCAAGATGTAGGCCCTATGAGGATGTAGGAGATGAGTTCAAAGCACACGAAGAAGGGTCATTTTAAGAAAGGAGAAAATATGTTCACTGACAAGTGGATGCGTAGAAAGAATGACAAGTTACAAAGGATGAGGCAAAGTGATGGAAAGATCAAAGAATTGTGTATGAAAAAAGAGGGAACACTACTACTCTAAGGAGGACAGCCATAGCATGGCAAATGTGATTTTTTGGCATGCTTTTATATGTAAGGAGGACTAAGACAGAATAACATGGAAAGAGAATGAAGGAGAGATTGCCCAAACCTATGACAATAAGGTGGTGCTTGTGGAAATGGAATGGCAGAAAGATTCTGTGGGTGGTTTTCAGCTGCACTGACCATTACAGGAGCCACTAGGCACCCATGGCTATTTAAGTAAAATCTGTTGCAGTTAAGTAAGATCCTCAGGAGGGGAGCCCAGCCCATGTGGCTCAGCAGTTGAGCGTCAATCTATGAACCAGGTAGTCATGGTTCAATTCCCAGTCAGAGCACATGTCCAGGTTGTGGGCTGATCCCCAGTGTGAGGCATGCAGGAGGCAGCCAATCAATGATTCTCTCTCATCATTGATATTTCTATATCGCTTTCCCTCTTCCTCTCTCTAAAATCAATTAAAAATATTTTTTAAAAGAGAGAGGTGAGCAGAAAGTTTGCATAATAAAAAGTTCTTTCTTGTTATGAACTAGAATAGTATGGAATATTATTATTTGAAATTCTTACAAATAAAAAAAGGTAGTAGCACAGATGCATGGAATTGAATTTCATTGAAGTTCAGAAAGATTTTAATCTTACATTTTTTAACGCTCTCTGAAGAATTCTCTTAAATGAACTTTTGAATTGTTTCATATCAAAAAGGTCAATATCTTCACCTGTCAAAATGAAAAGAAAAATCAAGAAAAATTAAGGGAGCTACAATGTCTTCAATAAATACATTTCAAAGACCCTGAGGCAAGCATTTGTATAACATCAAAGAGCAATAATATTCAAATCACAGAGATGCTGCTGGTACTCTGACACAGCATTGCCAAATATATTTTTCATTTTCCCAAAAAAGAGTAATAATCACCTCATTTTGAAAAAAAAGTGATTTAAGAGGAACATACTGCTATTCATTTTTAAATAGCCAAAATATCAAATGTAAATGTTTACTTTATTATTATTATTTTTTAGATAAGTTCTTTATTTTTTAAAATCTTTATTGTTGAAAGTATTAAATATGTCCCCCCTTTTCCCCATTGAACCCCTTGGCCCGCTAAATGTTTACTTTAAAAGGGAAAATGTTACCTGGTTCTTTAGTCATCTGAAAAACATCCCAAACTTTCTGGTGCCGATGAAATTGAGTATCTGAGAGAGGGAGGAAGAACTTACTGCTATTATATCATAGAACTTTTAAGTACTGTGCTTATGAATTACTATTTTCTCCATGTCATTAAAAATAACATGAAGGTGGAGAAAATAGTAGTTTATAAATTCGGTTATACATTTTTATTCAGAGATAAATTTTACATGGATGAAATTTACTCTAAATAAAACACGTCATAAAGAATTACTCAATCTAGTAGAGCTTTAGCATTTACTCTTAAGTCAGATCATTTATTTTATTTCCACACAGAATGCAGCATTTATTGAGCATGCCAGGGATGGTGTGCTCCCCATAACTGGTGTGTGTACTAGCTGGCTGTTCCTTTGTCTGGAGCATTCTTCTTCTAGCTCGTTGCATACTTCATTCCTGCACCTCATCTAGTCTCTAATAAAATGCCTCCTATGCAGTGGCCTACCCTGATCACCCTACCCAAACCGACCCTCCCACCCCACCCTGCTTTAGTTTACTTCATAGCACTTACCATTATCCTACATCACATCATATATTTAGATAGTCATTTGTATACTGCTTGTCTCCCCAACTAGAATCCTGTGGAATACACGACTTTGTCTTGTGCACTGTTGTATTCAGTGTCTAGACACTGGCTGGCACTCCGTATTATATCTGATGAATGAATGAATGATATAGAAGACACCCTTCAGGAGTTATAAACTTAAGAGTGTCTTGGAGTAAAAATGGACCTAGGAAGTTATTAAGTTCAATCCCACTACATTATCATCCGGCTTTACTCTGTCCCTGTACTGACCTCCATCTGCATCCCTGTGTCTTTGCACCTAGGACCAAGGTGCTCTGCACCCCATAAAAGGGGCTGTTGACCCCCACACACAAGGGCACCAACTTACTGTGCTTTTTGTACTTTCTGTCCTTCCAACAGTTTAGTGGGGGGTTTTTGTTTTATATTTGGTGTCTGGTGCCGGAGTCCATTCATTGTCTTCACTAGCTGAGTTTAAACAGAGACCCCCAAAAGCTAGTAACCTTTGAAGTCCTAGCAAAGGTCAGAACTGCACCACCCAGTTAATCTAGGAACCACCCAGTTAATTTAGGTAATAATAGCTGAAGCATCCCCACCTTAGTTCCCTTAATTCCCATTTATTATTATGTAAATCCTTGCTGATGGGCTAGTCTGCCTGTTAATGGGGTCACCTGCCTAAGGGCTATGCTATGATTGCATCCCAGGTCAATAAAAGCTTGGTGAGACCTAAGCACAGGGAGGAAGTCCTTCGGGACTTGCCCGCCTGGTCCCCCAATATTGCAAAATTATCTCGTGTCTTTTTCTTTCATTTGTTGTGCGGCTCCACTTTCAGATACCGAACCCTACTCCACGCAGAACGTGGAGGGAGTGTTAATCGACAGTCTGGTGTCCCCAGATCTCCCTCTCACCCCATTTATAGCAATGGCCTGACAATTCTTGATTCCCTAAGTTCTGTCTAAAACAGGTGTAATCTGGCACAATGTGATGCCTGCCCAAGAGACAGCATCTGAAGCGTTTTTGTTCCTTTCTGGTATTTTCTTCTTGATTCTGTATTTCAGAGTTAAGATAGCCTGCTAATTGATCTCTGAATAAGGCTGTTATAATAATAATAGAAATTAAAATTCTTGTCGTAATGATCCCATTAAACATCATGCAAAAGTTTATGATAAGTGGCAAGGACTTAAATACATGAAGACACTTCCTCAAATAGAACATGTTCTAGGCCCATGGTCGGCAAACTTCGGCTCGCGAGCCACATGCGGCTCTTTGGCCCCTTGAGTGTGGCTCTTCCTAAGCCTTAGGAGTACCCTAATTAAGTTAATAACAATGTACCTACCTATATAGTTTAAGTTTAAAAAATTTGGCTCTCAAAAGAAATTTCAATCGTTGTACTGTTGATATTTGGCTCTGTTGACTAATGAGTTTGCCGACCACTGTTCTAGGCTAATCTATGATCTCTGTGACATATTCGGTCCACCTCTAGTGTTCCCTATCTTACTTAGCAAGGGGCTCCACTGTCTTTCTAGTTGCACCTATAAACCCCGGAGCCACATGTGCTCCTCCCACTCAGTCCCCCTAAACCAGTGGTCTCCAACCGGTGGTCCGCGAGGTCCGAAAGGTTGGCAACTGCTGCCCTAGACCATACCACGTGCTAAGTCTAGTCAGTCTTAATCCTTACATCCCTTACAAGATGCACTATAATAAGAACAAGTTTTCAGAAATACATTTTCAATTCTATTAATATGTACTTATATATGCCAGTCATTGTGCTAAGAACCTTTCAAGCATGATCTCATTTAACCCTCACAATGATCCTGTGCTATATTATTATAATGTTATTATATTAACAGGTGCTATTATTATTTCTATTTACTAGTAGAAGCCTGGGGCCTAGAAAGGCAATGTGACTTGGCAAAGGACACAGGACTGGTAAGCGATAGAGCTGGGATTTTACACACCAGGTCAACTTGAGCCCTTATCTACAATATTACCTCTCTGATGAAACTGTATTGGTTCAATATAAATACAAATCACCAGAACTTACAAATAATGTCTAAAAGGGCAGCATCATTGACATTCGCATGCTTCTCCTGAAAGAAAAGGTAAAATATTCAGTAAACATGGCTATCGGTTTGATTCTATCCTAGAATCACAGCACATTTTAGAATTGCTTAGGACAGACTATGAGCACCCTCTCAATACTTTATTAACCTGTCTCCGATCTACTCTCCCGTTAAGTAACAAATACACCTTCTGATTCATGTTTAGTACAGGTACTTACACCTGTTCTCCCACAATTTACTCCTCATCACTTTTAATTTTTGTTTTGTTCTTCTCAACTTCCTCTACAACAGGGTTTCTTAACTGGACACTACTGACGTTTTGTGTCAGATAATTCTATGTTGTGGAGAGCTGTTGTAAGACATTAAGAAGCGTCCCTGGCCTCTATCTACTGGAATCCAGTAGCACCCCACTCCTACAGTTTTGACAACCAAAAATGTCTCCAGACATTGTACCCTCCAGAAGACAAAATTCATCCCAGCTGAGAACCACTATTTTATGCATTATACATTTATATGTATGCATAGCATATAGTTTTTTTCAATGTGCACACAAACATCTAATTTACTCTTTCTAATGGCTGAATAATATTTTATGTGGAGTATAATCATCTTCTATGTATAGTTGTTTGTTTGCAATTTTTTGTTTTTATAAACAATGCTAGTTAACGTCTTTATTTATATATTTACATATTTATAACTACATACATATGTTTATCAATTATATTTATATACATTTTTTTATTTTTTATGATTTTACCCACATTAATTTCCAGAAGTGGAACTGCTGGGTCATAAAGTACATTTATTTAAAAGTGACTAAGGGAAGGGTATACTGGAACATGGGAATTCTTTGTACTAGCAAATTTTCTGAAAGTCTGAAATCTTTTTAAAGCAAAAAGCAAATAAATAAATAAATACATGTGAAAGAGTATCTCTTTCTACACAACTTGACCAGCACATCTGAGTACTATCTTTTCATCGTGGACAATCTCATAGGTATAAAAAGAATACTGCTCATTACTTGTATTGTCTGTTTTTTTCTCACATGGTATTCACTTTTTTCTTAATGATTTGTAAGCAGTTTTGATAAGCTGAAAAGCCAATTAAAAATTAGTGTCTTCTCCATTATAGTGGTACGTAGCCTGGTCACTTCACAGCTTAGCAGCTGCCTTAAATCTCTTTTGGACAAAGGGAACAAAGAAAAAAAACCAAAGCATGAAGTTCAAGGTTAATCATTTTGAACATTGTTACCTCACAAAGCATAACCAAGTCATGCACAAGAGATTCCTTTCTCTTCCGGAAGTTTATGGTCTGCAGTTGACTTTCAGACAAAAAATCCCAGGCTTTCAGGATTGTCATCATTTCAGCCATTGGGATTTTCAAGATGGTCCTCTTGATAAACTCGGCAACAATTTCATCCATTTCTTTGGCAATGTAATAAAACAAAAACAGCACAAGCTTAACTTAACAGTTAATTTTTTTAAAAATCATCTTTTTAGCCCGGGATTTTGATTTGTAGGTCAAACACCTAAATGTTTATTTTATTGTTTCTCTGGCAATCTGCAAAGTGTTTTAACAAGAGGATTTAATAACTTTCTCCTTAAGCTATATATTTAAATGTCTTTTAGAGTTTTTAAAAATTAGTGCTCTCTCTCCTTTCTTGGCTAGAGTATTTTGAACTTTTGAAGGCAATAATATGGAAACCATTCATTCATTTACTAATTCATGTAACAAATTAAGGAGCACTTATGCATGCTAGACACACTCAAGTCACCAAGTAGGGCTTGAGATTCTGCATTTTAGAGTGCCTCAGAAGATTCCAAAAATGTTGGGTAAAGTTTGTAGAATGCCATTTTGAAGAATTTTGGTAGAAAGAGCGCACTTAATCTCACTAACAAAGTCGGAAAACTCTTGCGTAAACTCTGATTCCCTGTGATGACCTAATTTCTTATTTCCTAGCATGCAGCTCAGCGCCTGGCTTATAGAAGGTGCTCAAGATATATTTGTTGAATGAACGCATGACAGAAAAGAGCCCTTTTAAGTAACCTTCCTATAGAACTACACCGCCAAAGAACTGCAACAAGGAGCATAAGAAGTGACGCGGGAGGCTGCATGGACCTAAGAGGACGGACGCCAAGGTTAACTGAAAAATCAAAACACCCAACACTGGGCAAAACAGCAATCTAAGGCTGGGCTAGCCGAGCAGGCCGTCACGTGACCATCGGAGCAGCTCAGCTCTGACGCACGCCTTCGTAAGCCCCGCCCCCACAGGGGCGGATGTGAGGTCACGACCAAGCGTCATAGCCCTCGCCAGCTTCATCCGTAGTTCCAGCCCTTCTGCCTCCAGCCGGGACCAAGCGCCAGTCCCCCGCCTGGGGGCGTGTGGCAGTCCCAAAAAATTGCCTCAGAGGCTTGGGATGTGGGTTCTCGGGCCTCCTCCACCCTCTGGGGCCCGATTCCATGCCGTTAGGGGCTCTCTTACCGTTCACATCGCAAGCCGCCTCACTTCTTACAGCTGTTCCCGCCCGCTGCGCCTTCAAAGCCACCAATGGCAGTCCCCGCCGCCCTGGAGCCCCGCCCACCGGGGGGGGCGCAAACTTTGGACTGTCTCTCCTTCGCAGGGGGCCGCGTGCGGGAAGCGGCAGAAGTGAAACTCGGAGAGCCCTCACGTCGTTTTTCTCAGCAGAGAATATTGCTTAAATGCAGTTAATCTCAGACACGACATCTGACTTGTTGGCTCAGCTTGCTCTTTAGGCTTCACCGTGCCTCTGTGGGCTGGCTCCCCCTTCAGTTCCCCAAAAATGGGCCCGTCCAGGCCGGGCGGCGCATGCGCCTCAGAGGAGGTGAGCGGCGGGGGCCGGCCCAGCGGGTCAGCTGTGGAGGGCGTAGGAGCGTTCTCCTTGCGGAGCTCACCGGCTCTGACGCCCCGGCCTGCGGGACTTGGGGTGAGGCGTGCTCGCTGGTGAATTCCGCTCCAGCTCTTCAGGTGTGGCCGTGAGGCGGTGAGTCTTGGGAGTCGGGTGGTCAAAGGAGCGCGCTCTTTCCGACCGCGGCGCCCGGGGAGGCCGCGGGACACCCACCTGTCCCGGCTCTCGAGCGCCCCTCGGCGTCGCGTCCTGTGGGGACTTTCCTGTTGCCATTGGAGGTTGGGACCTGGAAGGCCCGGTCCTCGGGGCGGCCGTCGCCTGGCGCCGGGGATTTTGTCAGAGTCGCCACAGGTGCGTCCTGAGCCGTCCGCCCGCAGGCTGAGGACCTGCTCGTAGCTGAGGGCAGGCGTGGCCTCGAGCTTTCACTCTCCTGCCGTCTCTCCCGTCGCTCTCGAGCCTTCTGACCCAGCGCGGGCTTCTCCCTTCCCCGAGCCTCTGCGTCCACGCCTGAAAAATGGGTATAAACCCGTTGCATCGATTGTGAGAAGGGAGGTCCTTAGCACCGTGTTTGACACGGTGAGCGCTCAATACAATTGCATGATTATTGCTCTTGATTATGTAGATTAGAATTTGCCTATAGAAGATAAAAGCCTGCAAAGGCGCATCTCAGCTGCAGTGAACCTTGGCACCAATCCGTCTTGCGATGGGACAGTCCCGTGAGATCCCGGTCAGTACATTGTTCAGGGAATGCAGCCGTCCACATCCCTTTCATCGGGTTTAAAGATGATCGTGCCCGTGGTTTCACAACGGGCGCTGTAAGTAAACCCGAGTTCTGGAAACCTTTATGTAAAATTTTAAACGGATGGAAGAAGTTTGTGCCGGTAAAGGAATTTTGTTGTGACCCCCTTTGGATCTCCTTTCCTATACATACAGGCTTTTGCACTTGTTTAGTTGATTTTATTTCCATCCTTAAAAAACAACACCACCACTATGTTGAGGTCTGAACCAATTTTCAAATCTATGATAATCCTAAACTCAACATTCAGCAAACAATTATTGAGCAAATAATTGTTTGCTCAGTTGTATACTAGGTGCAGTTATAAGGATATTCCCTCATTAGCCTGTGTGTTCTTTGGGGTGTATGGACTAAGTCCCCTCCACTTCTCCCCGGAAATTCACCTGACGTGGCAGAACGCTCAGCACCTGGTAAGTGCTGGTACGTGTTCAGGGGAAGCTACAGCTTGACCCATTCCTTAGGAAAGGATGCGAGGAAGTTCGAGCCCTGCAGGCAGTCCTCCCTGAGCCCCGGGGTTGCTCTGTTAGCGGAGGGGCCCGGTCTGTACGTTGGGCATACCAGTCACTTAACAGCATTTGTTTAGATTTGGTCACTTTGCAGCTGTGATAAGTACAAGTAGGTAGGGTAGGTGGCCTACTGTTACCTGCTATGTCTGCTACCTCTGCTAAATATGGTGCATTATTTAAAATGATAGTTGGAGAAGTACTAATTTAACTAATTCCAGTGCTTTCTGAAATGTGGGCTTTAAAAATATGTTTTAGAAAGCTTTAAATACTGGTTTACAGGTTTTTCTGGAGAACAGATTTTTTCCAGAGACTTTTGTGGTCCTGCTTTTTGCTCGTTTTTAAAATGACATTAGAAATTGCAACTGTCGTGTAAATTTATTTTTGGTGCAGCCACACAATAGCAAGATTCAAAGAAAACAAAAGTGGCATTAAAATAATGATGGGTTTTCAAACTCCTTGTAATTATAGATCTGCTAAATGGTGTAATTGGATGGCTTACTCCCTTTTCTTTATTAGTTATGTATTGCTTACTCTTGGTTTATTTATTTCCTGAAATGGTGCCACCTGGTGGTTGACATCTTCTATCATAGAACGCTCATTAGGAATATTTTACCTCAAAAGTCTTGGTAAAATAAGGTAAAGGAGTACATATAATATGACTAATTTTTATATTGTCTGTGAGAAAACCCTACTGCTTCTGCCCGCCCAGGTTACCCCAAATAAAAGTTAAAATTGCTTTTTATGGGCCTACTAGCCAGTTTACAAAATATCCAATTGTCACAACTGAACAATTTTAAAAATTTCAGCTCACTATTTTGGTATCAATGTTTGCAAAGTTGAGGAAGTGGGTGGAGTTGGCATGGGGAGGGGAGTTTTGTAGTTGTGACAAGTTAGCCCTTCTGATGTTTTCTAAATGCGAGTAGGACTGAAGTTTTGTTCTTTAAATGAATAATAATGAGCTTTATCCCCCTCTTTCTCACTGCAAACATCCATGCTTGAAGGCTTATCACAAATGAATATTCCGTTCCCCTTTGTTTCAGTGATGCAGCTGATGTTCATAAGTACCTTGGCACTACCCTTTTGAAATTGTTTTTTGTATTCCTAGTAGTAACAGGTGTTTATCATTTGAGTGTGAATTTGGTTTTTGGAATTGGCTTAAAGTCATTTAATTGTGAGCTTAGATTTGAGAAGAAACTTAAGAATGTAATGCCAGAATATTCTCTGTGGCATCCTTAATTGATGTAGCCAGTCTCTTTTGGGCACATTTGGACAATAACCAAGAGCTTCACACAGCATGGCATTTCATTGTTGGACAGCTCCATGAAGATGACTGCCTCTGTAATTTCCACCTTTTGATTCTTGGAAACACCTCAGAGTCAATTCAGTTCAACCTTTTCTATTTTGTGACAAAGCATTTCAGATATACAAATAATACTTTCCATATGTCACACACACTGTTCCCTGTTTCAGAGAGTCTCGTATATGTTATTTTAAACCTCATGACAACACGGAGGTATAGGTTAAGAGTTAATTCCCTTTTAAGAAAGAAGAGACTTAGGTCTTATATCAAGTAAACAAAGTGATATAACTTGTGAATAACAGTCCACAATTTTTGCTTTCAAACCATTTTCTTCCATCAAATCCATTGTTTGTCCAATTTAACCAAGTTGTATCTTTTATCTGTCTCCTCTATTGGGGATTCCCCTACATTGGTAAATATTGCCAATTTCATTCATGGTTTCCTGTTTAAATCTAGTGTCAGAACCATCACCATTCTGAGCACTCTCCCCAGAATATTCAAATTGTAAATATTCTGGACATAGCTGATCAGGATGAGTATAGTACTGCTCTTTTTCTTGTTGTAGACAGACTCTATTTCTAATAATACAGGATAATATTACCAGTATACTGACTTCTTTGGAAACTAGGCCTAGAAGTAGTGCCTGTTGAACTTGTAGCCAACCAAAGGCTCTTTGGGAAATAGTAGTTTTTTCTAACTGAATTTATTTCATTCACAAACTTCTGGGAAGGTATGTCTTTTCTATTTTGAATGTGGGAAAAAATATGTTGTGATAAGAGATTAACTGCTACTTACTTTGTAACTGGGGCTTTGTTTTGCCATGGAAATGTGGGTAATGTATATTTTGACCCACAAAAAGGCAATTTCTTATGATTCATCTGAATTTTAAAAGATACTTTCTATAGTTATTGGGAGGATTATTAGACTTGTGCTTAGCACATAGTGTTTTAACAAATTATTTTGTACATTAATAATGTAGATACGTGCTTATGGCTTTGAAGAAACTTTAAAAATAAGCATTTTCTTTAGTTTATAAAATTACTTTGAGTTATACTAGGGTTATTAGAATAGACTTTAGAAAAATTTTTTGAGAGAGAGAGAGAGAGAGAGAGAAAGAAAGAGAAGGAGAGGGAGCGATGGGAGAGTTGGGAGAGATGAGATAATGAAACATCGATTGGCCACCTCCTGAAACCGGGTATGTGCCCTGACGGAATCGAACCAGACCTTTTGGTGTACAGGACGATGCTCTAACTAACAGAGCCACAGCAGCCAGGACTAGAATAGGCTTTTAAAGATAACTAGTGGAAGGTATCAGCACTTATTTAAGTGTGTTCTAAGAATAATGGCATTGTTTTATGGTTAAACTAAAGGCCCGATGCACAAAACTCACAAATAGGCCTTCCTTCCCCCAGCTGCCAGCATTGGCTTCCCTCCGGCACCCAGGATTCAGGCTTCCCTTACAGCTCTGGCTTCATCCGGAAGGACGTCCAGTCTAATTAGCATATTACACTTTTGTTATTATAGATATTTCATGATACTCATTTGTGCTTATATACAACATGCATGCATGTTTTTATCTCTGCAGCCAAGTGTCTTCTCAGGTGTTTACTATGTCAGTTAAAAAAGTCATTTTAGTAAATCATAAGTTTGTTTCTGAACTGTAAAAACACACATTTGAGGGCTGATTGATAGATATATGCAAAAATACTTTGTTAAATATATTTATAAAACATTAGAGACATTTGCTAGGTGACTAAACTATGCTTCTTTCAGAAGAAATAAGTGAAGCAGAAATCACTTAACTGATACTGATTCTATACATAACAGTGTAGTGTTTTAAATCTGGCTTTTTTCATTTAGCTTAGTGCTTTTGAGGTTCATCCACGTTGGCACATGTGTCAGTTAATTTATTTTAATTAAATAGTATCCCATTGTGTAAATATACTACATTTGTTTATACAATTACTTGGTTATTGGACATTTGGGTTGTTTCCAGTCTTGACTATTATAAATAATATGAACATTCACATACATATCTTTGTGTGGATATACAGGGTGGGGCAAAAGTAGGTTTACAGTTGTACACTAATAAGAATAAACTGTGTTTCATGTACTCACAACTGTAAACCTACTTTTGCCCCACCCTATACATTGTGTTTTCATTTCTTTTGAATAGATTCTTAGGAATGTAATTTCCAGGTCTTATGGTAAGTTTGCGTTTAACTTCTTAAGACACTGCCAATTATCTTCCAAATTGTCTGTTCTGCTTTACATTCTCCAGAGCAATGCATGAGGTCCATTTTTTCCACATTCTAACCGATGCTTGGCATTGTCTGGCTTTTTGATTGTAGATATTCTGGTGGATATGTAATTATATCTCATTGTGGTTTTAATTTGTCTTTCCCTAATGACTAATGGTGCTCAGCATCTTTTCATGAGTTTAATTAACTAGTCCTATACCATCTTTGGTGAAATATCTATTCAAATCTTTTGTCCATTTACTAGGCCCATTTAAAACATTGGATTGTTTGTAAGCATTCTTTATTTTATTCTAGATATAAGTTCTTTATCATATATGATTTGCAAATATTTTTTCTTAGTCTGTGGCTTGTGGTAGATTTTATTTTTTTAGAGCAGTTTTAGGTTGGCAGCCAAATTGAACAAAAGTAGAGAGGTCCCATATACTTTTTGCTTCCACACACTCACAACTTCCCTCACTATCAACATCCCCCACCAGAGATTATATGTTTATTACAATTGATGAATCTAAATTGTGGCATGTCTTTTAATTTTCTTAACAGTGTTTTCAAATTGAGAAAGTTTTTAATTTTGATGAGTTTTTACCAATTTTTTTTCTTTCATGGATTGTGCTTTTTATGTATGTAAGAACTCTTTGCCCAATCTAAGGTCATAATTTTCTCTTATGTTTTCTTTCTTAGAACTTTTAAAAGATTAAAGCAATTAATTGGTTCTTCCTTTCAGTAATCTTTTCTGAGTTAAAAAGAATTGGTTTTAAAAAAGACAATAGGTGTATAGTGATACATAACTGTAGTACACCTCAATATAATGCTTTTACTTTGACTGTGGCTGCTAATTTTCTTTGTGAATGAACCAGTTAAACCAATTTTAGGGATTTCAGCTTCTTGTTTTCATGGTAATAATAGCATTTTATGAGTGTATCTGCTAAATTTAAAAAATTTATTTCCCATCTGCTTGTTGTTTCTTTTCATTGGTTAGATTTTCCTAGCCAGATGTTAGGAAGAAAGCAGTCTATATTAATTCACACTAATGTGAGATGACTAATTTTCCCTTTAACACTCTCAGAGGAATACACATTTTTAAAGGATTAATAAGCCAGTTCTCTTAATTGGTAGAATTTCATCTGAACAAAATGAGTTGTAATAAGTTTCAGGAATGTGGGGCTTATTAACATAGGCAAGCTGTTTCTGCTTGAGTGCTTATTTCCAGGATCGGATCTATTGAGGAGTCCTGCTTTTTTTCTGAACCTGCATGTTCTCTAAACACTCCTGATAAATTACTGAATCTGTTAAATCTTTGGATAAGGAACTTGAGGCTCAAGTTTAATAATTTGCCTAAGGTCAACATTCTTTTCTGATAAAGGTTCTTACTAAAAATATGAAAATAGTTTTAGGTCACATTAACAAATAAAGTCACAGACATTCAAGACACTCTTGTATCCACAGGTTGCTCTGCTGTGCTCCATCACCTTCTAAAGATGCATCCTGACTTATCTCCACACTTGCACACTGAAGAATGCAACGTCTTGATTAACTTACTTAAGGAATGTCACAAAAATGTAAGAGTTCAGAAAAAATATCATAAAGTAAAAATGAAGCTTAGGTACAACACACTGATGTAATTTAAATGTTATGTCCACTAATGGAAGGGAACAATAATGTCTTAGCTTAGTAAAGACTAGCAACTGGTGCTGTGACTTTTTTATAAATCACTTCCTTTTATGATTAGTAAAAATTAAGGATCAAAGTTTGTTAGGAATCTTTTGAAATGATATGTATTAGTTAGAATCCATATTCTTACAATAAAATACTTTTCCTAATTACAGGACACTAGAACAATATGTTCAGCTCTGATTCTTCTGATTATAATGGAATTAATCTAAGATTTTCTGTTCCTTGATGTATGTCATTCTGTGTTTAAAGGAAATTGAGACATTTTTATAATTAGATTTTAATAAATTTAAATTGTGATTGGCCTAATTTGACAGATTTACTTGTTAGTAGAATGGAAGTAAAATTTCATGGTTAAAACCAAAATAGAAAAAGCCCATTTTTGGAATGCATAAGTTGAACTGATATTTTTACAGATGTTGAATATGTAACTTTTTCCATTTATCACATGCATGAGACAGTTATAAGCATCTTTAACTTTGCACGATGCATTATTTTCCTCATGATATTCTTAAACTATAGATATACCAAATTATAATAGTAGTAAGTGTGATTTAAATGAGCAAAATTTTAAGACTGAAAGTAAGGTAGTAAGTAAAAGCCATGACCTGTGACGTCAGGTATTTTTACTGGTTCAAAGAATGTTGTTGATAGTAGGCAAACTATTTTCAGCATATATTTAAATCAAGAATTGATATTGTATGTCTTCTTACCTTTAGCTGTTGTATGGGTAGGTTGTAGTATCTCATTTGGTTTTAAATTATATTTCCCTAATGGTTGATGATTTTGAGTATCTTTTCATGTGCTTATTAGCTTATTAGCCATTTATATAAAGTCTTTTACCAGTATTTTAAAAAATTGAGTTCTTTGTCTTATTGAGTTGCCCGAGTTACTTTTATCATTGGGCATACAAGTCTTTTGTCTGGTAAGTGTATTGTGAATATTTTCTCCCAATCTGTGGCATCCTTTTTCATTTTCTTAAGAGCGTGTTTCTGAGAGAAATTGTAAATTTGATGAAGTCTAATTTACCAGTTTTTTAAAATTTTGTGTTTTTTATGTTCTACTGATCTTGTATATTTCCTGGTCACAAAGATTTTCTATTTTTTTCTTTTGGAAGTTTTACATTTAGGTTTGTGATTCATATCATGTTTTAATTTTTGTGTATGGTGTGAAGTATGAGTCAGTTTCTTTCCCTATCGATACCCAATTATTCCAACATAACTTATTTATTACTTATTTATTCTTTCCCCACTAAATTACCTTGGTGCCTTTGTAAAAAATCAACCAACCATTTGTGAGTGGGTCTATTTCTGGGCTCTCTGGTCTGTTCCACTGAGATAATATATGTCTATTCTTAACACCAGTTAATTCCAAAGTTATCTTACTGAGGCCGAGTGGTCCCCTGACTATTTTGTACTCTTCTCTGTCTTAATTTACTTTCCACACTGCATCTAGAGTGATCTCTCAAATATAAGTTTAATCATTATTCCACTTTAAAGGCTCCTTTTGTAGAATAAAATATTCCTTTCTTACTTTGTCTTCCAAGATTTTCATGAAACTGGCCTCTATTTGTGGCTTCACCACTGTCCTATACCTCTGTTCTCCCCCTCATTCCCATGTGTTCTTTCTGCAGTTATACTGGAGCATGTTTCTGTCTTGTAAGCCTTTGCACTTGCTTTTTCCTTTGCTTGACTTAGAACCTTTCTTATAATCTTCACTTCCCATGTGCTATACCAGTTGTCATCTTCTAGGTTTTATTCAGATTAATTTATCATTTCCTCTTCCTTTTCTTCTTTCCTGGCCTAGATTCTCTTGGGATAATCACTCTGCACTCCAGTAACACCATACATAATATATTTCCTACTTTATGGCAGTTGTTCTCACACTTTTTGGTCTCAGGATTCCTTTACACTTAAAAATCATCGAGGACCACAGAAAACTTTGTTTATATGAACTATATCAAATTAATTTAGAAATTAAAAAATAATTTATTTAAAATGATAATAAACTCATGTTAACATAATTAATTTTCATAAAAAGCTCTTAGTTTCCAAAAAAAGAGTGACATTGCTTTTGCATTTTTACAATTCTTTTTAATGTCTGACTTAATAGAATACAGCTGGATTCTCATACCTGCTTCTACATTCAATCTGTGATGATGTTACACTTCATGTAGTCTCTGGAAAATTGCACTGTACCCTTGTTAGATAAAGTGAACAAAACAGATAAGAACTTTGATTATTAGGAAAATAGTTTTTTACTTTATGCATCTCCTAGAAAGGTCTTGGGAACTCCTGGATATTCCCGGACTATACTTTGTAAACCATTGCTTTATAGCAATCACTTCATTATTTGTCTTCTCCCTTTGACTATGTGCAATTGAGAGTAGGGCCCAGGTTCACCTTGCTTACTGCCGTATCCTTCTAGTGCCTGGGACATTGTCTTCCAGACATTGATTGATCGATTGATTGGTTGATTGATTCAATCAATTGCTTAGCCAGTTTAGTTCTCTAGAAATAGACATCAGACACTAGTGGCATATGCTATGTGTATAAAAGAGAATTGTAGTACATGGACATGTCTTTTACCAATTCCACTAGGCATTTTAGGTTTTTCACATAATATCACAACAGTATAATTCTTATTTGGGCTCAATATTGAGGTAAAAACAAAAATATAAATTAGTTTTTTTCTTGTATTTTTAAAATAAGATGTATGTATATGGGATGGAATAAATGTAAGCTGAACTATGAAATATTGCCTTGCATTCTAAAAGTCTAATCCTTTCTGTTATTTCTGCTTGACCAGAGGGGGTGTGAAGCTGCGTTGTCCCTGCGTATTTGTATTTAAGTATTTAGGAAAAATACACAGGAAGTATTTATTTTGAAGAGGTCATTAGGTACCAGTAGGAGCTCTTAGCCTATCTTAAATGCTTGCCAGAAAAACTGACTATTTTCCAATGTGGACCAGAAAAGCACATTTAAAGTGGTAATGAATTAGGAAAAAAAGTAATGGCATGAGGCTTAGCTTACTAATTATGAGTTGCCTGGTTTTCATGAAAGTCTTAATTAGAAAGAAAAGGAAAAGATGTGCTTATTTACAACTACAAGTTCAGCATTTGTGGCATTATTATAGGAAATCACCATGCTCTCCAATCTATCCTTAAAAACTGTGACATGCAAACACACTAGATATAGCCCTAATAAAATTCAGCTTCTTGACTTCAGTCTTCATCTTAATCTGCTTTGGAACACACTTTTTGCCATGATAATAATTATAGGACTTGGATCCACTAGAAGATATTTATATTTGCTTTTCAAACCAAGCAGACTGAACTTCAGACATAGATTTCCTTATATGTGTTGTGAATTAGTGGCTTATTTATGTGGCCCATACAGGCCATCTAATAACTGTTATGTGTTTTGGATTTATTTTGATAACATTTTGAATGGAGTCAAATGAGAAAATGACTTTGGCACCAAGCATTTATTTAGTTGCTCTTCTACAGGACAGCATGTTTGCTAGTGAAGGAAATTCATTGTGTTAATATGGCGACATTGCTCCCTGTAATGGAGAATGGATTATGCTGTGATTTTAACATGCCCTTTAAAGAAGGAGGTATTAGGAAATAAAATTGTTTTCACACTGTCACTATGAGGTTTTGGCAATAGACTTCCTGTTTATCAAGGAAAAGTTTTTTTATTTTTTATTTCTAACTATAGAGCATTTATCCCACTTTTTAGGAAGGCCAGGGTAAACCTGTTTATTTGTATATTTTATACTTGGGATTTAATTATTTGCTTATTAACAAGGTGACACATTAAACTCATGCTCTAAGAATAAGCATTTAAATTCTATGTGCCAGAGACCATAGCATAATATGGGATGAAATATTTTACCCCTTTTCTTCCTTTTAGCACAGCATTCTGAAATTTTTTGGTCATTGCAATGATCTTGATCGGGAGATGAGAAAATGCTTGAAGAAGGAGGTAAGAAAAGTGTTAAAAGGATGGAAATTGTTCAACAATAGAACAGAACATTTTAAAACAATATGATATATTACTGCTGTTATTAACTCCCTCCTCCCTCCCCAATTTTAGTATAACAGAGTAAAATAGACTTTATATGTATGTCTATAACCTAGGGGAGAAATGAAAGCCTCTTCTGGGGACAATTTTAGAATACCACTGTTGTTTGGCATGCATATAAATGAAACAACTTCCTTTTTATAATCCTTGTAATTCCTTTGGATGAATTTTAACGTTTGGGAAATTGACTTTGTATGCTATATGATTGTCTAACCTCTATGCTATATACCTGAAACTAATAAAAAATAATACTGAATATAAACTGTAATTGAACAAAAAATAGATGCAATGGTAAAAGAGGATTCTCTTCATTGGAATTTGATCTATAATGGTCTTTGTTTAATTTTTTAAAAGTTTAGGAAATTGAATCTCTTTTAAACAAAAAAGACATGTCAGTCAGCTATTGGCTACAGGTAATTAAAACTCTCTGGACCTCGGTTTCGTTATATAACACTAGTAGCCCTGCTCACGAATCCGTGCGCCAGTAGCTCGCTGCTGCCTTCCTGTATCTCTCAGCCCACTGCCCCTCCCTCCTGTAGCTCCCCCGCCTCATAGCTTGCTGCCCTGCCCCCTCTTGTAGCTCTCTGCTGCCCGATTGTAGCTCGCTGCCCCGTCCTCCTGCTGATCTGTGATCTGGTCGTTATGCAGTTGGTCGTTATGTAACGACCATTTGCATATTATGTCTTTGTTATATAGGATGGTGCGGCTGGACTTAGGCTCTTGACAGCTTTAAAATTTTGAATTTCCTTATAATTACAGACAGTTCTTGGGTTACATCGGACTTGACGTACATCATTTCGTGGTTATGTCACCATCTCCCATCTATATATATAAAAGCCAAGCAACCGAAATGACTGGTTGTTATGACGCATACTGTGGCAGCCAACTGGCCCGATCGCCCCTCCCAAACTCCCGCAGCTCCTCCCCTGACTGGCCCCGCCCACAACCGCCCCCACCCCCACCCCAATCAGGGAGTGGGGCTGGCAGCCAACCTCCTGTGGCCCCTCCCGTTGGCCAGCCCAGCCCCGATCGGCCCCATTGGGGTGGGCCGGCCGGACCTCACTCGTGCACGAATTCGTGCAACTGGGCCTTGAGTTTATTTATAAAAAAAAGTTTCATCATTTTGATGTATGTACATATGTGCTTTATGTTTTTTTATTATTTATTTACCACAAGTAAAGGTCAGGAATTGTTATCTTTCTTTTAAATACTTTTTACTCTTTCACTTCATTATTGCGGTGTTGTGCTCCATGTGAGTGACATAGATGCTTATGTAGGTGGGTTCCAACTTATGGCGGAAATCACATTACGTCACGCTGTAGGAACGGATCTCCGACGTAACCTGAGGACCTACTATATAGTATATATAAACCATAGGGATCTAGTTTGACTTACTTGGAAAGACTAATTTCCTGAACCCAAATTCAGGCTAAGACTTGAACTTGGGCACATAGTCAAAATACCAAATTCATTGTATTTTTACAGGCACTGCTAACCAAGCAAAGTGCATTTTAAATCTTTGAAAATAAATTTAATGTTATTTCTGTTTTTTACATCAGATATTTTGTCTAGAACCTTTAAAAATCTATAACTACTAAAAATCTGCCTTCCAATTTTCTGTATCTTTGAACTTTTCCCCCCCATTAGCCTTATATTGAAAGATATCCTATATAATAAAAGTTAATTGTCCCCTCAGGAGTTCAACCGCTCGCTTTGATGTGTGCTGACCACCAGGGGTCGGCGTGTAACGAAGGAAGGCCCTGGCCAGCAGCCAGGGGAAGGAAGGCCCCGGCTGGCAGAGAAGGGCCCAATTGGCTCTGATTGCTGGCCAGGCCTAGAGACCCTACCTGTGCACAAATTTCGTGCACTGGGCCTCTAGTTATCCTATATAATAAAAGGCAAATTGACCAAACGGCAGAATGACCAGTCACTATAGCAGGCACTGACTACCAGGGGACAGACACTCAACACAGGAGCTGCCCCCTGGTGGTCAGTGCACTCTCACAGGGGGAGTGCCCCTCAGCCAGAAGCTGGCTTCACGGCTGCCAAGTGCAGCGGTGGTGGCGGGAGCCTCTTCTGCCTCCGTGGCAGCACTAAGGATGTCCGACTGCCAGCTTAGGCCTGCTCCCCACAGAGAGCGGGCCTAAACCATCAGTAAGACATCCCCCAAGGGCTCCTGGATTGCGAGAGGGTGCAGGTTGGGCTGAGGGGACCCCCCCCCCCCCAGAGTGCACAAATTTTGTGCACCGGGCCTCTAGTTAGATATAATATTTGAAGCTCTCCAGCATCTATCTATCTTTATGTTTATATTTTCTACTTTTTTTTTTTTTTTCTTCTTCCTGGAATCCCTTTCTAAAGTGTCTTTACTGTTTGAAGAACTTTCCAGAGTTCTGAGTTAAGGGTGATAATTTTCTTTGTGAACAAACATGTACATATAAAGTGTTTTAAACTGATTTTTGAAAAGAGTTTTTCCTTATATGCAAAGGCTCATTTAGATGGAAACTAAACTTAGGGCTCTGTTCCTTTTTTAATAAGGTTATGGGAAAACTAGAGGCCTGGTGCATGAAATTTGTGCACCGGAAGGGGGGGTCCCCTCAGCCTAGCCTGCACCCTCTCCAATCCGGGACCCTTTGGGGGATGTCCGACTGCCGGTTTAGGCCTGATCCCGGAGATTGGGCCTAAACCGGCAGTTGGACATCCCTCTCACAATCCTGGATCGCTGGCTCCTAATTGCTCACCTGCCTTGTCACCCCTAACTTCCCCCCCTTGCAGGCTTGATAGCCCCTCACTGCCTCTGTGTGCCGTCCTGATCGCCCCTAACTGCCCCCTGCTGCCAGCCTGGTCACTCCTAACTGCCCCCCCTGCTGGCCTGGTCGCCCCCAACTGCACCTCCCTCGCTGGCCTGGTTGCCCCTAACTTCCCCCCCCTGCCGGCCTGGTTGCCTCTTACTGCCCCCCCTGCTGGCCTGGTTGCCCCAACTGCACCCCCTCATGGTCCCCCCGCTGGCCTGGTTGCCCCACGTAGCCTGCTATTCAGTCATTTGGTCATCCCTCACTAACCCCCTGCGGCCTGGTTGCCCTACGCAACCTGCTGTTCAGTTGTTTGGTTGTCCCTCACTAACCCCCCTGCCAGCCTGGTCGTAGGCAGCCATCTTGTGAGGGTATGATGGTCAATTTGCATATTACCTCTTTATTATATAGGATAAAGTTCACACTATTTTATATGTTATTTAATTGGTATAGCTGTTTATTTCTCACATGCTCTGTGTAGAATAGCTTTTTTCCTACATTTAGATTTTTTTCTCCTTATAGTTTAACAATTTTCCCATTGGTGATTAGATCATATAAAATTTTCTTCCGAGGTAGTCCTAAACTGTTAGGGACTACTTGGTAGAATGTTGTAGAATCTACAGTGTAGATACTCTTATTTTGTTTAAGTTCATTTTTATATAAATTTCAAATGTTGTCCTTGATTTATTTTTTAACTCCTCTGTGTGGTTTTTATGTTGCTTTATTACTTGATTTGTAGACATTTTTCTGTCCTTTCATCCTTCAATCCTCTGAACCCATGCTCATTTGTTTTCTTTCTGCTTTTAATGCTTTCTAGTTTACCATTTATTGCTTCTAATGCTCTTTTCCTACTATTTCCTTGATGTGTCATTTGAGTACTTCATTCCTTGAAGCTTTTAACTAGAAAAAGGATCTGGCCAGTTTTGTTGAGCCTGTCTTTGTTGTTGCATGCTGCTTTTGTTCATTTATTGAAATAATCACTAATTTTACTTCTGTAGCATACTCTTTGTCCCTCTTACTTGTGTTTTGTTTGGTTTTGGTTAATTGACCTTCCATTCTATCTGTGTTATTCAATAGAGTTTTGTGAATAACATTATATTCATCCTTTTCTCTCTTCTTTTATTCAGGGGCCATTTTGACCCCTTTGGAAATAATCTTAACGTATTTTAATATAGGCTATATTTTAATTTGCTCTATGCTTATTTTGTTGGTTCGCTACAAAGTATTATCTTCAGAACTTTTACTCTTAAGACCCTCCTCCCAGCCTAATTGCTGGAGGCAACATGTGATTAAAAATATCAAGCATTTTTCTCAGGGCATCTATCTATCTATCCATGTTCTGGAGGCTTTTTTCCCCCCTAAATTTTATATATGTGTGTATATCTATATCTATATCTATATCTATTTCTATATCTATATCTATATCTATATCTATATCTATATCTATATCTATCTATCTATCTATATATATATATAGATATATCTATATCTATATCTATATCTATATCTATATATATATATATATATATATATATATATATATGTATTTATATTTGATTTCAGAGAGGAAGGGAGAGGGAGAGACAGAAACACCAGTGAGGAGAATCATCAATTGGTTGCCCCCGTGTCCCCCCCCCGTCCTCTCTTCCCCCTGCCCACATGCCCCACACTGGGGATTGAGCCTGCAGCCCAGGCATGCTCCCCAACCAGGAATCTGTGACCTCCTGGTTCATAGGTCGACACCCAACCACTGAGCCACGCCAGCCAGGACCCTTAGATTTTTTAAAGCAATAAAACACACTTTTCGCTTAACAATCTTAAGAGGAAAATTAATGTATGGCAGGTAAAAGGAATGGTTTTCGTTAAAGGGACCTGGTGCTTCATCTATAATTTGAAGATGCCCTTTGATGGGGAAGAAAAAAAAGTTTGAAAACTATCATTCCAGGACATACGTTAGAACCTTTCAATCAAAACTTTAGACTTAGAAAACTTCTTAAAGATTATCTAACCCAACTCCTTATGTTTGAAGTTCCTGGACCAGAAGATAAAGTAACTCAACATCAGGAATCGCCACACCAGGAATCAGGGGAGGGGATCAGGTCAAGTCCTTGGTTAACTCTACCATTAATCTTTTGTTTCTGTGACCTCTTTCCATTTCTCTTATCTCCTAAAAGATTTTGATGTCCAACAGTTCACATATACTCAGTTTTCTCCCTTCTGCCTAGGTAGTCTTCATTCACCTTTAAAATATGTCTGTATTAGTATATATATTTTAAGCCTCTACATATGTACATATAAGAGCACTTAAAGTCAAATTTCTCTGCTTTAAATAAATGCTTTTTAAAGTGTCACTCTGTATTTCCTGTTATTTATAACCTACTAGCCAGATCAGAATACTAGGTTGAAAACATTTAAGGTTAAAACTGCATTTAGATCCACCTGATTACAGAAACATAGAATTTGGGGAGAATTTGATTCAGTGACTTACCATGATGAAGAAATCCTGGGAAGTTCAGCTGACTATAAGTTTCTGTATGAATCAATAGGATAATATGGTTGCTAAGAACCAGTTACTCTTTAAAAAAAAGAAAAATATATTGTTTATTGATTTCAGAGAGGAAGGGAGAGGGAAAGAGCGTTAGAAACATCAATGATGAGAGAGAATCATTGATCAGCTGCCTCCTGCACGCCCCCCCTCTGCCTGGGCATATGCCCTGATCGGGAGCGAACTGTGACTTCCTGGTTTACGCTCAGCCACTGAGCCATGCCAGCCGGGTGAGTCGGTTAACTCTTGATAATATTTATAGAAATGTAATGTGTCCAGGTCATAAGAACTAGTAGGCCATTGTAGTCTACATCTGTCAGGCTACTTCTAGAGCACTGTATTTAATTCTGCTTGTGACATTTTTTTTAAGGAGTATTGATATTAAAGTACTTCATAAAGGTGCTTTATAGAGAAGATATTAGAAGGCAGAAGCCATGTTCTGTGAACAGTTGTAGAAACCAGTGATACTCAGCCTGCAAAAGAGATTGTGAATGGGTTATCTGTAATCAGATATTTGAAAGACTACTCTGGCAAGAAGAAACAGAGGACAGTGGGATAATTTACTGGGAAACACTGGTTCAACATAAAAAGCTTTGGAAGTTATTCGAACAATAATTAAGTAGCTCCTTATAACTAGAAGTATTCAGTCAGAGGTTGGATAATTAGATTGTGAGCTCCTGGAGAATAGGGACAAAACTCATTTGTCTTAAATTTTTACTGAATTCATATTTTGGGAGGAAATTAATTCAGTAAAGACTTAAGCATCTGTTAGGATGTGGATACTGTGCTAGAACTTGTACTAGATAGCCTCTAAGGTCACTGTTTTCAATCTCAGATTCAGGGAAGTAAAAGAAGAGTTTTGTCAGCAAAAACATTATTTTTATTCTGCAAATATTTAATTGATATAAATGGTAATATAATCTACTCTTTTCTCCCCCTTCCTTTTATTTTTCAGTACGTGGAAAAGAGGACCAAGAGCAGGGAGCTTGGCAATGCGATGCGAAAGAGACTTTCAAATCCTCCAGAGGAATCTGAAACATAAATTATATTATCGCTGGATGCCTTGGCTGAGAGAAGATTTGAAGACTCTTGGTTGATAAAACCAAAGGAATCCTATCTCATTTGGTCTCCAGAATCCTTTGAATAGCAAGTGACCCATGAGAAATCGAGACATGGAGAAATACAGAAACCCTGGATTCAGAATATTTGTTGGGCAGAGCCTTTAGTACTCTGATTCCTTTACCAACACACCTGACTTTTAATATGGTTCTTTCTTTTGCCTGCAGCCATTTAACATTTGAGTAATTTATCACCCTCAATAAAATAATTGATTTTTATCATATTTTCTCTGTTCTCTTAGACTCTTCTGGAATTAGGGAGAAATGGTCCCATTAGACTTTCCCTTTTGAAAACATGGCAATTCTAGAGCTTAAACATTGAAGATACAAGCTATGGCTCAGTGGTTAAGCGTCGACCTGTGTATCAGGAGTCACGGTTTGATTCCAGGTCAGGGCATGTGTCTGGGTGTGGGCTCCATCCCCAGTAGGAGGCATGCAGGAGGCAGCCAGTCGATGTTTCCCTTTCATTAATGTTTCTATTTCTTTCTCCCTCTTCCTTCCTCTTTCTGAAATAAAACATCAAATAAAAAAGATACAAGCTAAGGCAAAAAGAGCTTGAGGAAATTCCCAGCTGTGTTAACTATATGAAAATGTTGCGACTTTCTTGTTCTTAAAAGAGCTGTTTTCTAAAAGGGAAAGTGTTTAACATTGATAAAATTACTTCTAGTCAGGATTGAAGTCTTGGTGGACTTTGGTTCTTATTTTGTTGGATGTGCCCACCCTGGATGCCAGTTAACTTCTGGGCATTAACTTTAGGCCGGCATACCTACTCTTGCTGGGTACAGGGCTCTTCTTCCCATACTCACTTTTCAACAGCATTCTTTTTGCCTGGTGTTTCTGAGACCTGTGAGAATCTGAAAGTCAGCAACGTCCAGCCACATGACAGCATGGCTTGATCTTGTCAGATAAATTGTCAACAGACTGTGAACTATGAGCTCCTTCTATTGGAATCTTTGTGTTCAGCATGAGGCCTTGTTGGTGTCAGTGTTTGATAAGTGATTTCCGTATCACAAGAGGTGTTCAAGAGGCTGGACATTCATTCAGTGAGGTGGTTATGTGGTAGGCAGTTATACAGACATGAGCAGAGCAAGGATGGTGGGCCAGGTACAGAAGATCACCAGGATGGAAAGCCCCAAGTGCCTAGCAACAGACAATTGTAGGGTGGGACCTCACCCCCAGGGGGAACTTTTCTTCTCCTATCATATCTCTGATCATGAGGTTTGGACCCCCTGACCTTTCCTCCCTAGAGATAATATCTAGGTGTCAGCAATATTCCAGCTCCAGGTCCAGAAAAGCAGCAAAATCAGACCCCTGACCCCATGGCTGACCTCAGGACCAGCTGCATTCAATAATGACCCCCTGCCCTGGTGCCAGCCATTCAATCAATGGAGACCACAACCCTGAAAGGACACACCTGGAAAATTGCTGAATATTCTATTGAGATCTTTCCCTGGAACCTCCCCTAAAATTTCCACCCTTAAAACCCTTAGGATGGAGGACCCAGTTTGCTCACGCCTTCCTTCCCAAGGTATGCTCCCCAGCTCCAAGGACCCTTCCTTACCTCTATAATTTGTTTCCTAAGTCCATTTCTTTTAGGAATTGCTTCTTCTACCTCTGATTTATCAAATAAATGTTCTTTTACTGTCTTGGCTCTGAATTCTTTCCTAGCCAGAACCCAAGTACCTAGGTTGCTGAACCCAGGATAGGTCTGACCCCTCTGGTCAGACACCTGGTGCTGTTCGCCGCCTACAACAGTTACACAGGATAACATATTTGAAGGGTTGGATGAAGAAGCAGAATTAATTCTGAGGTCGCTTTCAAGACTGAGGTTTACAAATATTCAGTTGTGTTTCCCCTTCTCCCTCCCTCCATGTCAGGCAGTACAGGTACAGAAATGAGACATTTTGTCCTTAGAAGCTTGTAGTACTGACAAGTTGACTATTACAGTAGTGTAGTAAGTGACATGATTAGGTAGGTGTCATAGAAAACAGGGCATCCATGCCCAGCCTTCAGGAAGAAGGAGCCAAGCCAAGAAAGCTACTTAGCACAGGTGACCTTTGACAAATGAAGTGAAAATGGAATACATTCTGGGGAACATCAAGTCATTAGGCATGACTGGAATATGAGAACTGTTGGTGGAGGAAGATCAGAAATGGCTTTTAATTTTGGAATTTTTTCTGCAATGCTGTGGTGACCAGTTGCAAATTTTAATATGGTGATTTGGATTTGTAGAGGGCTTAGGAGAGGGATATGTTTCAATTTGTATTTTTAGTAAGATTTTCTGGTTGTAGTTTTGTAACTGGACAATTAATGGGTCCATGCTACCTGTCACTACTTGAGCCAATTCAGCAGAGACAAGGTTGAATCATATATGAGTATTCCAATAATGCTGGCAGTATGGGAGAGCAGCAGGTCATCCACAAAAATCTGCTCTGTAGCCCCCCATAAGCCAGCTGCTTTTATAGGGTAGGACAAAGATTACATGGGGAATAGGCAATGCGGGCTGGGGTGGGATTCCATTGTTTGGGCTGAGCAACAAGGTTGTTAATCTTTCCATGGTAATAGGCAGTTCTTATATGAGAATGGACCACATTCCAAGGTTGACTCCCAGGGCCCCGGGGGCGTACAACTCCCAGTGAGGTTAGAATGTCCTTTCTTAAACCAATACAAGGCAATCATGATTAATAGAGCATGATTAATATTTCCCATAACCATAGCTAGTCCCCAATATTCTATTTTTGTCCCTAACAGTTTGGAGAATACACCCAGGGAGACCAATTAGATTTTGCCCTAATTTAGGTGAAAAATGAGGGCCTGAATTAAGTGTCTTGGGAATCAAGAGCAGTGACTAGTTGAGGGGAATCCATATATATATCTAATAGGCTAAGTGTCCTTCCCTCTGTCTGGGTAATGACGGCATGTAGCAACGCCCGGCTTCCTCTCCTTAGCGACCACTAGCCTCCTTGCAGTTTCTTCAGCCCAGGAACATGACTTGCTTTATAGCCAGGTGGAAACACTTTACACTGTAACCAAATGTCTGTGAAGCGTTTTCTGTGCTTCATCTCATTTGATCCTCACAGAAGCCCTAGAGTAGGTAGATAGGAGACTTGATGGAATCCTATTTTCTTTTCATTAGCTGGAAAATGGAGATTTAGAAACTTGACCCGAATGAAAAGAAGTAAGAAATGGTGGATCTTGAAAATGACTTCAGGTTTTCTCACTGGGCAGAATACCCTTTGTTCTCCCTGCGTGATCTACAATAATAATTTGCTTCGTGTTGATATTTACTGCTGTGTTGCTGACAGTTACCTGAAAGAGAAGTTGGGGTGCTTCACTGGGCTGGAAAAAGTTTAGCTAAATCAGAAAGCAAGTCTAATTAAGCAAGTTTATTCTCTCTATATAAAAGGCTAAGTTGACTCATGCATGCACAATAACATATAATACTCTCACTGGCGCCAATCACACGCATGTGTTTCAATCTGTCATTGTTGATGTTGAATTTCCTTGACACTTCTGTTATAGAGAAAGGGCGAATAGCAATCTTAAAATATTTCTTCTAATTAATTTCCTTTCAATGTGCACAAATTTGTGCACTGGGCCACTAGTTTGAATATAAAATCAGCATGACTGACAAAGTATGGGATATAAGAAAAGTCTAGGAGGTCTCAGGCATTTGATTTGTGCTTTCCTCCTGCTGATGCCCTGCCCTGCCCTGATGGGAGGGGGTACAGCAGGGGTGTGGTGTGAAGTGCTGAGTTTGAGGTGTGTGGAGATGGCTTTTATTCTTCTGTTTACTCAAAGGTGGAGCTTATCAGAGCCCCCGGATGGAACAGACTTAGGAGACAGCAGCATGCAGATGAGAGCTAACAGCCCGTGGCCAGTGTCGTTAGTGGTCTGTGAGAGTTGTAGAGCAGAATGAAGTTTTTGGGCCACTTGATTTTTAAAATTATATAAGTACTACATTTTTATGGAACATTCAAACAATTTATAAGTTTTACAGAGCAAAAGGTATCCTTTATATCCCAGTATCACAATTTCCTAGAAGTATCTATAATTGACAGTTGGGTGGAGCTTCTAGGCATTTACATTAATATATCAGGATAGGAGAGGGAGCCCCAGGTACAGAGGAGGAGCAGACATAGTGGTAGAATGCAAACCATAGTGAATGGTGCCACAGATTACCAAGGGGGTTACAGAGGAAGGAGTGTCACTGCATCAGAGCTGAAGTGGCAGTTGATTGGCCTCCTCTGTCTTCTGTAACCTTAGAGCCCTTTGGTGTTGTAAGGAGTGGGTGGGAGCTGAAGTGGAGCTGGAAGATAAAAGCACATTTGAAAAGACTTGGCTCTGAAGGGAAGGACAGTGTAGGATTGAGAGAAGGTCTTACAAAGTCAAAAGAAAATGGAGAGTGCCACTTGGAAATGGCCATGTTTTGAAAGAATGTCAGGAAAGAGGGAGGGATTAATTTATTGAGCGAAATCTTTGAGGATGCAGAAATGGATGAGATTCAGGGCCCATTGTGACAGTGATAATGCTTTTTCTAGAAAACAAATTAGAAACTGAACACTTGAAGCACAGTAGGACATGCAGAATATTCTTTTCAGAGAGCGGTAAATGCCTGTTTGTGCAGAATGTAATGCTGTTTCTTCTACAAAAAATTAAGAGCAAAGCTCTCTTTCTGCTCTCTGAGGACCAAAATCAGATACACTGTGTTCACCAGTGACATGCCAGTAAATGTTTAATGACTGGCTTTCAAAAACAAAGGCACTAATTTGTAGCCTTTGCCATTTTTTAAAAACTGATTTTTAGAGAGGAAGGGAGAGAAACATCTATGTGAGAGTAGAACATCCATCAGCTGCCTTCTGCATGTTTCGCAATGGGCATCGAGCCTGCAACCCTGGCAAGTGCCATGACCTGAAATCAACCAGCAACCCTTTGATTCACAGGACGATGCCCAACCAACTGAACCACGCAGGCCAGGGTGCACTTGCCATTTTCTGTATTGTAAATATTCCTTCCGGTGCCGTCACTGAAGGTGTAGTTGGGAAGAGGTGCCTTAGTAGGCTCTCCTGAGCTTCTACCAGCTGACTCCAGCCTCCCATGGCACACCACTGCTGTGCAGAAGGAACTGCAAAGAATCATCAAGTCAGTTGCCCACTGATGATCACCTTTCCCACCTCTCATGTTTTGGCAGTTGAAAACACCTGTAACATAAGATGTACACTAA